TGGGGGGGGAGGAGGGGCTCAGGACGGGGGGGGGAGCGCAGAAGTCAGGGTGGAGGGTTGGGAGATGTGGAGGGGCTCAGGGCAGGGAGTGGGGGCAGATGGTAGCTGCTTCCCAGGGCTGGGGTGCTTGCTGCCCCCCATGGCCATTCTGGAATATAAATGTCCCTGCTCTCATACCCCTCCCTTTCCATTTGATGCAAATCAGTCGTGGTCCAGGCGCATCCCATTGTCCTGGCACAACCAAACAGGGTGGAGGGTTGGGAGATGTGGAGGGGCTCAGGGCAGGGAGTGGGGGCAGATGGTAGCTGCTTCCCAGGGCTGGGGTGCTTGCTGCCCCCCATGGCCATTCTGGAATATAAATGTCCCTGCTCTCATACCCCTCCCTTTCCATTTGATGCAAATCAGTCGTGGTCCAGGCGCATCCCATTGTCCTGGCACAACCAAACCCCAACCTTGCTTTACGCCGGGAGAAGAGGAGGCTGCAGAGCAAAGTAATGGTCCTAGCTCTCACTGTTTAGGAGGAGTTCTTGAACAAATGGACAGAAGGACTCCTGGACGGACGGACAGACAGATGCACAGACTCTTGTATTTACATGTGCTCTGATCCAGCACTTGTGTAAGGAAAGGGGAACATGCAGAGGGAGATGACCCTGCCGTGGCTGACTGGACGGCATTGGCAGTTAATGGGCGTCTGGGGTGTTGTGTGGAACACTTGCATTACCAAGAGCATTCCCACCTTGTCCCTTTCACTGCAAGAACTTCGTTCGGCTTCCCCTTCCCTCTGCTGCCAAGGCGCCCTGTGTCCAGTGCACGACGAACTGCTGGCATAGCGTGATACATACTGTACTGTAGCGTTTGCCCAGAGGCTTAGCAGAATACGGAAGGCTGCTGGAGCCAATGCAGGCTGCAAAACACACACACACACACACCCACACACACACAAACACACACACACACACAACCACACACACACACAAACTGCTTGCCTGGTACACACACATACATGGAGGGGACAGGCACACACACACACACACACACACACAGAATGTGGCATTCAATTGGTGCTGTCAGGAAAAATCTCTTGCTTTTTACCTGGAAACGCTTTGGACCAGAAAAAGCCCTGATGTCAAGCTGAATCATTTATAGGGCGGGAGAAGGGGCCTCACTGAGGCGTTGGGATTACACCAGCATTCTGCTGAAAAGGAGGTCAGCAGCTGATGAGCGTGAAGTAAGGCTAGCTTCTTACAGTCACTCACCATTGTTACAGTGACGTGAAAAGAGCCACTGCCACCTTCCTTGCTCCAGAAAAAACTAGAATTTGGTGGTGTTCTGTGTGTCTCTCTGCAAATTCCAATGCTTCTGCTGCCGTTCGCTAGCGCTGTTCCCACTGGGGCTGTTACGAAATGTATTGGTAATCATCCCGTAAAGTTCAGTTCCTTGGGATCACCCCGTAACTCTTCCCTAGAGCTCAGGCTGCTTCTGATGCACCCAGAATTGTGGGGAGTTGAGACATTGGTGTGTGCTTATTTCCTTGCTTCTCATCTTGCTGTATGCCCCCCTCCTTAGGTTTTACATTCTCCCCGATGGGAGATTCAGCATGTGAAAGCCAGGAAGTCCTAGTGCAGTGAAACAAGCCACTTATAAGATTTTAACCATTTCCTGAGAAGGAAGCTATTTCCTAAAGACCCCGTGTGAGCGGTTTGTTAAGGCCATTTACTCTGTATTTTTCCTGATTAGCTCCTATAATGGTGCAGCACAGCGACCCAGCTGGCGAGGCTGAAGAACATTTTCAGTCAAAATCTGGTGAAAACATTTCTGTCTGAATCTCACTAGAGGGAGCTTAGCTCTCAGTTTTGTGCAGTTTGTTCCTCCTGGGCGAGACTGTTAAGGGGAAAGTGGGAAATAACCGGACGCCCATTTTCACACGTCTTGCTCTTTTGCAAAATAATGTGTGCTTGTTCCGCATTAAAATCCTTCTCAAATAAGTACTTCACACAAGTGAGCCAGCCCTGCTGATCGTGTAGTTGGCTCACTGAGCTAATGTTCGGGTCCTGCAGCCTTCAGCCATTGGCAACCCAGTGTAAGTTGGTGCTGTTCCACAAGCGAAGTGAGCCTGTTGGTCTCAGCATAGGCTGTCTTGCTAAGCTGCTACAGCAGTTGGCCTGCTTCAGCACAAGGGAGAGGCCCTGGTGGGATGGTTTTAGTTTAAAATGTTTGTGTCTTATGTAACTGTAATGTCTGAGAACCACATACTCACTCATGAATTTAACAGCACCTTGTGAGGTGGAGGATGATTCTTAGTCCCATTTTACAGATGGGACCACTGATGCAGTGACCCATTTGCCTAAGATCAGACAGGGAAGGAGTCTCTGAGATTCTTTGGCCGGTGCTACTTGACTCCCAAAATAGTTGGGAAATGTTTTGATCATGTTTTGTAGAAGGCAGGTGTTGCCCGAGGCTTGCAACACTGACGCTTTGTGAAACGCACGTTCTTTTCCACGAGGGAAGAACAGAACGGGCCAGGAGCTAACGTGCTGCGTTTAATTTAGATTGGGCAGAAAAAGTTGAAGAAATATGAAAAGGAATATCATACCATGCGAGAGCAGCAAGCGCAGCAGGAGGATCCTATAGAAAGATTTGAGGTAAGACACTGCACACCTAGGTCAGTTTGAGGCCTCCCGGGAAAGTCCTGTTTCTTTCCGTTGTTTGTCTGTACTTGCCGATGTGCAGCGACTTCCATAGGCCTGGGTAATTCTGCTAAGGAAACGTGAAAGAAATGCCGGTTCATGTCACCCAGCAGGGACGTAGCGGGACGAGCCCCTTTGCAGAATGTTTCCATTGAATCCAAGGGTGGGATCGGGTGGATCTATACTTTTGCTCTTGGGATCTATACTTTTGCACAAATAAACAAAAAGTCTGGTGGCAAATCAGCCTGGTTCCCGCCATAAAGTCTTCGCTCACCTCCCCCCATGACACACATGGTAGATTCTATGAAATATTGAGCATATTTTTCAGGGTATGAATGTTTCAAGTGAGTGTTTGCCAGCAGCGATATCCTATGGTTGTGACAGAAGTTTTGTTGAAGCAAGAAAACCACTGAGCAGCTTCCACCTGCTTCTCTATCACGTTCACCGCATTACCCCTTCCCTCGGCTTTCACAGCATATCCAGTTTATCACAAGGCCTGGCGGGAACCATTTGTGGGAGCGCCGTGATAAAGCATTGTTAGTGGACTCTCACCCCTAGCCCTTCGCTGCCCAAAGCTTTGCTACAGCTCAGTAAGCTACCCAGGAATGGCTAAGCAGAGCAACTAATAAATAGCTGCTTTCCAAAGGTCATTTTTTGCTTAGCTACCCATCTTCTCATTTGTTGTCACTAACATACATGGCGCAGGCAGAGTTCTAGGCTGGTCTGCGTGAGCCAGGAGGCACTCAGAACTGTTTCGGGTGTATAAGCTCTTCAAGAGCCTTTTTTAAACTCAGGCTTTTTGTTTCCACCAGCGTGAGAACCGGCGACTGCAAGAAGCGAACATGAGGCTCGAGCAAGAAAATGACGACCTTGCACATGAACTGGTCACCAGCAAGATTGCACTACGCAAGGATTTAGATAATGTAAGGCAAAGCGTTTCCTCGTGCTCTTGGGTGGTGAGGGGACACAACTTCATTTCTATTTACTCCTCTCCTTTAATTCTCGCTGCGGTGCCCCGAGATGGATCGTGCTCCTACAATTAGTTTGTCAGCCTGCATTCTCCATTTTTGAGATGGATCAATCTCATATTCTTTCTTCGCCTTGGGATGTTTTTCCATTTGCCTCCAGGCCTAAGGACTTCGTATACATTTCTCACAGACTGCCATGGCCGGGATCCTGTGAGATCTCACGAGTGAAGCAAGGGCGGGTTTGGACACTTGTTGCCTTGGAGACCTTTAAGGGACATTCAGCAAGTGATGGTGGTGGTGTTTGCTATAAGCACCATTCTTCTTTCCAAGTCAGTACTAGATGAGTACCCCATCATG